CTATTGTATCTTTTTGTTGTGCTTTCACACTTAATAATCTGACCTCAATATAATGAGAATATTTGTTGACTCTAAACTGTGTTTATTTATGGTTCCAAGCCAGGGGGTCCTCCTGGTTAAAGATTTATGTCTGTGTCAGCAGGGGTTGAACTTTCAACGCAGGCTCAGGACAGACAGGGAACCCAAAAATACTCATCTGCCTTTGATGGGGTAGCATTACAATAATGATTGTAGGCACTAAATCTGTTTTATCTAAAAGCTAGGCACTACTTTCTGGGTTCCAGCTGGAAAGATTTCTGCTCATTTCCTGTTCTGGTGACATAAGTTACTAGTACAGAAAATGAGGATAAAATCTCACCTATAGGGGTACAGACAGGGATAAACACCTGACAGCGGTTCTGTGTAGTTCGAACTAGAGTTCAGGGGAGGTCTTGGAACCTTCGGCCTGGGCCATATATAACTAACTGATCCATTTATTGTAGGGACACATTAAGTTGGGCTAAAGAGAGAACCTTGTGAAGTGTTCCATTGTGACACAGTGATTGTTGCGCAATGCGAAAGGCAGCTGTTTCTAAAGGACATAATTTATTGTGACACCTCTGTAGGTAGGTGTGGTTCAGCCTCCCTGGCCGGTGACGCTGTGCCAGAAACACCATGCAGTGGAGAATAGAGGTAAGAGGAGCTCTTGTTCCTCCAAGCCCTCCGTAGGTGTCATCAGAGGAGCAGCCATCTGATTGGACGTGGCTGCGCTGAATTAAATCTTTAGTGAGGGCAGGGCTAATAAACAGCACTGTCTCACTGCAGTTGGCATGCATCTGCGTAGTTGCTAGGTTAGGGACAAGAACCCACTGAGGAGGGACAGTGTATCTAGCACAAGTAAAGGTTCCGGTGGAGGAGGGACAGAAAGGTCAAGCCTGATTCCACCATCCAGCAAAACCTGTGGGTCTGGGTGTTGAGCTCTTTCAGCCTCTCGCGTGCCCTCGCCACCACACCACCTATTATTATTATGTTTATGCAGCACTTTACAATATGATTGTATACAGTAAAATTACAATACAATTTAGTACAGTAGGAATCAGAGGGTCCTGCTCATTAGAGTTTACAATCTAAGAGGGAGGGTCCAGAGTCAAAAGGTAATAACTGTGGGGGATGGGCTGATGGAGAGAATAAATGTACAGTTGTTAGGTGGGGGCAGGATAGGCCTCTCTGAAGAGATGAGATTTCAGGGAGCATCTAAAAGTGTAAGAGATACTCAGACAGATTGGGTAGGGAGTTCCAGAAGATGGGAAAGACTCTGGAGAAGCCCTGGAGAGCATGGGAGGGGGTGACAAGGGAGCTAGACAGCAAGAGGTCCTGGGAGGGATAATGAGAGTGATTTGGTTGGTATTTTGAGACTAGGTTAGTGATGCGCATCCATGATCCTACTGCCCTCCATGTTTTTTCCTAGTTGCCTGAACATGCATGTTTATGCTGTGGACTGCTCCATTATTAGCAAATCAAGTTGAAAAAAACAATGTTAGTCATCATTGCAACAAGACTGGTTGCTATTTCCATACAAGTACTGTGGACCAGGGATGTCCAGAGCTTCTCATAGACATGAGATCGTTGGACAATCTAACCCAAAACAGCAGCAATGAGTTGTCTATCTCCATAGGTCTATATAGACTTCCTGATGGTGAAGAGATTCTAGACTGCATAATAACATGGTTTTAAAATAAGGTTAAAGATTTATATATATATATATATATATATATATATATATACATACAGTTGTGTTCAAAATAATAGCAGTCAGACATCACTAACCTGATCAATCACTGTTTTTGGTAGAAATGATATTTCTACATGGCAAATAATTTACTAGCAGGTGTAGTAGAGTAATAGAAATCCAACAGACCCAACAGTCATGACATGCATGCTGCTGATTCTGTGTAATTGAATCACTCATTGAAAGGGGCATGTTCAAAATAATAGCAGTGTGGAGTTCTATTAGTGAGGTCATTCATTCTCTAAACATGTGGCAATTATTGCCCTTAATTAAGGAAGGAAGGCAGCAAATGTTGTACATGCTGGTTACAGTGCATTTTTCTCTGAAATTCTGAGGAAAATGGGTTGTTCCAGACATTGTTCAGAAGAACAGCATACCTTGATTAAAAAGTTGATTGGAGAGGGGAAAACATATAAAGAAGTGCAGAAAATGATAGGCTGCTCAGCTAAAATGATCGCAAATGCTTTAAAATGGCAACCAAAACCTGAAAGACGTGGAAGAAAGCGAAAAACTACCATTTGAATGGATAGAAGAATAGCCAAAATGGCAAGGACTCAGCCAACAATCAGCTCCAGGAAGGTCAAAGAAGGTCTAAAGTTACCTGTGAGTACTGTTACAATTAGAAGACGCCTATGTGAAGCCAAGCTATCTGCAAGAAGCCCCCGCAAAGTCCCTCTGTTGAAAAAAAGACATGTGCTGAAGAGGTTACAATTTGCCAAAGAGCACATTGACTGGCCTAAAGAGAAATGGCGCAACATTTTGTGGACTGATGGAAGTAAGATTGTTCTTTTTGGGTCTAGTGGCCGGAGACAGTTTGTCAGACGACCCCCAAACACTGAATTCAAGCCACAGTACACTGTGAAGACAGTGAAGCATGGTTGTGCAAGCATCATGATATGGGGATGTTTCTCATACTACGGTGTTGGGCCTATTTATCGCATACCAGGGATCATGGATCAGTTTGAATACATCAGAATACTTGAAGAGGTCATGCTGCCTTATGCTGAAGAAGAAATGCCCTTGAAATGAGTGTTCCAACAAGACAACGACCCCAAACACACCAGTAAACGTGCAACATCTAGGTTCCAGACCAACAAGATTGACGTTATGGAGTGGCCAGCCCAATCCCCGGATCTTAATCCAATAGAAAACTTGTGGGGGGACATCAAAAATGCAGTTTGAGGCAAAACCAAGAAATAGAGAAGAACTGTGGAATGTAGTCCAATCATCCTGGGCTGGAATACCTGTTCACAGGTGCCAGAAGTTGGTTGACTCCATGCAACACAGATGTACAGCAGTTCTCAGAAACAGTGCTTATACAACTAAATATTCATTAAGTGATTCAAAGGAAAGCAAAATCTTCAAACATTTTTCAGTTTATATAGTGAATGTTTGAGTTTGTAAAGAAGAATGCAAACACTGCTATTTTTTGAACAGTCTAGTATTCACTTTTCTTCAATTTTTTTAGAGGAACAACACAAATTTTATATATTTTCCTTCATGTTTCAACACACTGCTACTATTTTGAACACAACTGTGTATATATATATATATATATATATATATATATATATATATATACACACACACACACAAGAAGGGGTTACATGAGTCTTGGGCATGTAAGTAAAATATCTGCAGGTTTACATTTATATTGACGTCATTATTACTGTTTTCGTTTGGATTTGGCAGCAAATTGTGAAATACTGGCGCTCAATAAATACACAGTGATAATAATTCTAATTGTCTCTTTTCCCTCCACTGTACCAGGAAGCAAGGCCAGCTACTACTGGAAGTGGGAGAAGCGTGTATACCTCTGCCCATAGTAATAACATTTCACTGAGGTCAGCTCGCCTATTGTGCTATAAGAACAACAAGCCGTAATGGCTGTATAAGCAGTGTGGTGGTAGTGCGAGATAACAAGCTCCAATCATTTTTTTTTGTCTATATCACCAGCCTGGCTGCAAAAACACGCACAATGCTCCCTCACCATCAAAGAGATTGCATGGGTTAATACATGTCCTCTCACCAGTTCACAGATGGTGAAGAATAATACACAATATCTACAAATCAGCTTAATAATCGCAGGGAATAAACACAAAATGCCCAGCATACACGATCACAAAGATTGTATGAAATAAAACAACACTCACATACCAACACAAAGATTGCATTGAATAAGGGAATGTGGGGAATAACGCCCAATGTGCAATCACCGAACCACAGATTAAGTGGAATATTCAACAGTACAGGGATCACATGTATTATTCACTCACAAACTGAGATTGCATAGAATAATACACAATATTCAACATTCATCATTATAGAAATGTGTGAAATAAAAGACATTGTGCACTCATCAATGCAAACAATATATGAAATAACCAACTAGAGAGTAATTTTTGTGTCTAAACTATACATGTAAAAGAGAAGTATGCGCTTTTTTTTGTCCAGTTATACTTGTAGTGGATATAAAAAAGTCTACACACCCCTGTTAAAATGTCAGGTTTCTGTGATGTAAAAAATTAGGCAAAGATAAATCATTTCAGAACTTTCAACCTTTAATGTGACCTATAAACTGTGAAAAACAAACTGAAATATTTTAGGGGGGGAGTAAACATAAAAAACTAAAATAATGTGGTTGCATAAGTGTGCACACCCTCTTATAACTGAGGATGTAGCTGTGTTCAGAATTAAGCAATCACATTGAAAATCATGTTAAATAGAGTCAGTACACACCTGCCATCATTTAACCACCTTCCGCCCGCCATATAGTACAATGACGGGCGCAAGGTGGTTCTCTCGTTCTGAAAGGACGTCATATGACGTCCTTCCATTCTCACCGTGCATGCGCGGCTCAGGGAGCGCGCAGCGCGGTGATCGCCGTTGCGCTGTGATCACCGTTGCGCTGTGTCCCTCGGACACAGCGCATCACGGAAAGAGCCGAAGATGTCGGCTCGGTCATGTGATCAGCTGTGTCCAATCACAGCTGATCACATGTAAACACGGAAATGCTGGTTATCGGCATTTCTCTCCTCTCGAGCTGTCACGCTGACAGCTCAAGATGACAGGAGAGCCGGTAATCGGCTTTCCGCGGAGGGGACATGTACACTGATCATCAGGGCACTGATGATCAGTGTGCCCTAATGATCAGTGTTGTCCCAGCAGTGCCACTTGTTAGTGTCCATCAGTGCCAGCAGTCAGTGCTCACCAGTGCCACGTGCCAGTGCCCATCAGTGCCACATCAATGCCACATATCAGTGCCTACCACTGTACATCAATGCCACATATCAGTGCCCATCTGAGCTGCCTTTCAATGTCACCCATCAGTGCCAGTCAGTGCCACCTATCAATGCCAATCAGTGCCACCTATCAGTGCTGCCAATCAGTGCAACCTATCAGTGCTGCCTATCAGTGCCAGTCAGTGCCGCCTATCAGTGCCAGTCAGTGCCGCCTATCAGTGCCAGTCAGTGCCGTCTACCTGCCAGTCAGTGCTGCCTAACAGTACCAGTCAGTGCCGCCTATCAGTGCCAGTCAGTGCTGCCTATTAGTGCCGCCTATCAGTGCCATATATCAGTGTCATGTATCAGTGCTGCCTTTCAGTGCCCATCAGTGATGCCTGTCAATGCCCATCAGTGAAACCTACCAGTGCCTCCTCATCAGTTCCACCTATCAGTGTCCATCAGTGCAGCCTATCAGTGCCCATCACTGCAGCCTCATTAGCGCACATCAGTGAATGAGAAAAATAACTTATTTACAAAATTGTATAACAAAAACTAAGAAAAAAACTTTTTTTTTCAAAATTTTCAGTGGTTTTTGGTTTGTTTAAGAAAAAATAAAAATCCCAGAGGTGATTAAATACCACCAAAAGAAAGCTCTATCTTTCTAAAAAAAATGATAAAAATTTCATATGGGTACAGTGTGGCATGACCGTGCAATTTTCATTCAAATTGTGACAGCGCTGAAAGCTGGAAATTGGCCTGGGCAGGAAGGGGGTGAAAGTGCCTCTGATCAACCCCAAATAAAGTTCAGCTGTTCTAGTAGGTCTTTCTAGACATTTTCTTAGTCATATCCTACAGCAATAGCCAGGGTCTGCAGAGAGCTTCCAAAGCATCAGAGGGATCTCATTGTTAAAAGGTATCAGTCAGGAGAAGGGTACAAAATAATTTTCAAGGCACTAGATATACCAGGGAACACAGTGAAGACAGTCATCATCAAGTGGAGAAAATATGGCACAACAGTGACATTACCAAGAACTGAACGTCCCTCCAAAATTGAGAAGAAAACTGGTCTGGGAGGCTGCCAAGAGGCCTACAGCAACATTAAAGGAGCTGCAGGAATATCTGGCAAGTACTGGCTGTATGGTACATGTGACAACAATCTCCCGTATTTTTCATATGTCTGGGCTATGGGGTAGATTGGCAAAACAGAAGCCTTTTCTTACAAAGAAAAACATCCAGGCCCAGCTACATTTTGCAAAAATACTTCTGAAGTCTCCCAAAAGCATGTGGGAAAATGTGTTTGGTGCAAAACAACACTGCTCATCACCAACAGAACACCATACCCACAGTGAAGCATGGTGGTGGCAGTATCATGCTTTGGGGCTGTTTTTCTTCAGCTGGAACTGGAGCCTTAGTCAAGGTAGAGGGAATTATGAACAGTTCCAAATACCAGTCAATATTGGCACAAAACCTTCAGGCTTCTGCTAGAAAACTAAACGTGAAGAGGAACTTCATCTTTCAGCATGACAACGACCCAAAGCATACATCCAAAGCAACAAAGGAATGGCTTCACCAGAAGAAGATGAACGTTTCGGAATGGCCCAGCCAGAGCCCAGACCTGAATCTGATCAAAAATCTGTGGGGTGATCTGAAGAGGGCTGCGCACAGGAGATGCCCTCGCAATCTGACAGATTTGGAGTGTTTTTACAAGGAAGAGTGGACAAATATTGCCAAGTCAAGATGTGCCATGCTGATAGACTCATACCCAAAAAGACTGAGTGCTGGAATCACATCAAAAGGGGCTTCAACAAAAGATTAGTGTAAGGGTGTGCACACTTATGCAACCATATTATTTTAGTTTTTTATTTTTACTTCCCTCCACCTAAAATATTTCAGTTTGTTGTTCAACTGAGTTGTACAGTTTATAGGTTACATTAAATGTGGAAAAAAGTTCTGAAATGATTTATTTTTCTCTCTTTTTTTACATCACAGAAACCTAACATTTTAACAGGGGTGTGTAGACATTTTATATCCACTGTACCTAGGTGGATGCAGCATCGGTCTGATGCTACATCTGTTCCCTGCCGGCTCTAAGGGTGAAAACTCACATGACCACTGATCGCTGAATTCTCACAGTTGCTCTGAGTAGAGAGCGGTGACTGTCAGTCACCGCTGTTTGCTCTGCGCCTTCCCCCACACTCAATGGAGAGCTGGGCTATGCAGGGGAAGGGGCAGCTGGCTCACTGAGAGGCTGAGCCAGGTGCCACTCCAGACTCTGGGGTGAATCGCAACTTTAAATTCGGGATCTTTCCCCAACCTGTATGGAACCAGATAAGTGGTTGAAAAATCTGCAAGGCAGAGTTTGGACTGGAAAGAGAGGGATCACTTTGACACAGTTGGCCAGCTTGAACATGTATTGTAATAATTTATATTAAATAATATTCGGTGATCAGATAAGTTCATAGAGAATTTTTTTAAATGAATGTATTTTTACCCAGAGCTTGAATAAATTCAGTCGGTTCTTTAGAAGTACCCGTCCAAATGACAAGTACATTATCTATGTACTTTTGTCACTGCAAAATGTGGTACAGGTACAAGTTATCAGACATTCACTCCCCCCCCCCCCCCACAAGTAAAGGTTAGTACACGGTGGGGCACAAAAAGTCTCCATCGCAACTCCCTGCACCTGAGGTAGTGGGAACCCTGAAATGATAAATATTATGTGTTTAACCATTTGCCGCCCGCTCTATGGCTGAATGGCGGCCGGCAAATGTCATCAGCGTTCCGGGTGGATGCCATATGGCGTCCTCCCGCACATGCGCAGATTGCGCTCCTGCAGAGCCGCGCAGAGGCGCGATCTGTCCCCGGCCGTGTACCTCGGACACGGCCGATGACAGATCTGAGTATCGGCCCCCGTTGCCGGTACCATGTGATCTGCTGTGACCAATCACAGCAGGTCACATGACAGTTGTATACAATGGATGGCTTCATTCATGCCATCCATTGTATACTAGTGTCTAGCTGTGAATGGTCACAGCTATTCACATGCACATGTCATGTGATTAGCTGTGGCCAAATCACAGCTAAGCACAAAAAAAAAAAAAAAAAAAAAAAACCCTGAATGAATCGATGTCATTCAGGTAAATGCTTGCTTATAGCAAAGTAATTCTTTGCTATAAGCAAATTGTGTAAAAAAAAAAAATACTGATCACCTCCCCAAAATAGTACAATGTTACTATGGTAACATTGTACTACTTTGGTCATAGTGAAATATGAAAAAAAATCTTAAAAAAAAGAAAAATAATTTAATAAAAAATAATAAAAAAATATATATATATATTTTTTTTTCATACTGTCACCAGTCAGTGTCCCTGATCACCGCCATGCCAGTTATATGATGATGCTGTACTGCACTGGTGACAATATGTAAAAAAAAAAATAGTGAAACTAATTTTTTAATTTTCTGAAAAATTATGACAAAAAAAAATACAACTTCAAAAAACTCACCATGCCTCTTATGAAGTACGTCGGACTGTCTACTCTGCAAAAAGGGGTCATTTGGGGATATCTGTACTGTTATGACATTCTTGGACCTCAAGAAATTAGATTGGCTGTCAGTACTTCAGGATTGATCAATATTCAGATCTATACCATAGTTTGTGAACTCTATAACTTTCCTACAAACTAAAAAAATACATCATAATTTGGGTTATTTTCACCAAAGAGATGTAGTAGAATACATCTCGGCCTAAATTTATGAAGAACAATTATTTATTTGCAAACTTTTATAACTGAAACAAAGAAAAACGTTGTTTTTTTCAAAATGTTTGGTCTTTTTTTGTTAATTTAGCAAAAAATAAAAACCCCAGTGATTAAATACCACCAAAAGAAAGCTCTAGTTGTGTGAAGAAAATGATAAAATTTTAGTTTGGGTACAATGTTGTATGACCGCGCAATTGTCATTCAAAGTGTGAGAGTGCTGAAACCTGAAAACTGGCCTGGGCAGGAAGGTGTAAAATTGCCCGGTATTGAAATGGTTAAATACAAATAGCAATCGATACAGCCACCCATGTATTAACATGCAATAAAACTATGTGAAAATTAGTATGTAAAAATTAATAATGATGATAATAATGTACCAGTCTGCTGCTCACACCATTAAGTGGTTTCACTCCACTCCTCACACAAGATAATTTACTACAAAGAATGTACTGCAATCTATATGTCTAAACAAAAGTCCACACAAATAAAAAGTCCACAACACTAAGAAATAATGAGTCCACTGAAAGTGATATCTTCCACCAATATTATCCATGTGTGTCAATATCTTCTACATATGTATCACACATGCACCTCTATCTTTTATACAGCAGGTAAAATAAGTATTCAAAGTGTCACCATTTTTCTCCATAAATATATTTCTAAATGTGCTCTTGACATGCAAGTTTCACCACATGTCAGTAGCAACTCATGCAATTCATACATACAAAGAAACCAAAATAAATACGTTCAGAGATTAAGTTAAGTTATGTTTAATAAAATGGAATGACACAGGAAAAAAGTATTGAACACACTAACTGAAATTTATTTAATACTTGGTACAAAATAATTTGTTGGTTATAACAGCTTCAAGACGCCTCCTGTATGTAGAAACTAGTTGCATGCATTGCTCAGGTGTAATTTTGCCCCATTCATTCACACAGTCTTCATATCTTGAAGGTTCCATGCGCGTCTTCTATGAACTCTGATCTTTAGTCCTTTCCACAGATTTTTCTATTGGATTCAAGTCAGGTGATTGGCTGGGCCATTCTAGCAGCTTTATTTTCTTTCTATGAAACCAATTGAGAGTTTCCTTGGCTTTGTGTTTGGGAACATTGTCCTGCTGAAATGTCCACCCTCGTTTCATCTTCATCATCCTTGTAGATGGCAGATGATTTTTATCAAGGAAGGCTTCAACGATATGAAGTTTGCCAGTACCGTATGCTGAAAAATAGCCTCAAACTATGATGTTCCCACCTCCAAACTTCACTGTTGGTATGGTGTTTTTGGGGTGATGATTTTTTTGGGGTGCAGTGCCATTTGACCTCCAAACATGGTGTGTATTATGGCATCCAAAGAGTTCCATTTTGGTCTCATCTGACCAGACTATATTCTCCCAGTATTTCACATACTTGTCTAAATGCTGTGCAGCAAATTTTAAATGAGCTTCAACATGCTTTCTCTTCAGCAATGGAGTCTTACGTGCATACAGGCCATGGCAGTTGAGTGCATTACTTATTGTTTTCTTTGAATCAACTGTACCTGCTAATTCCAGGTCTTCTGAAGCTCTCCACAAGTGGTCCTTGGCTCTTGGACAGCTCTTCTGATAATTCTTTTCACTCCTCTGTCAGAAATCTTGCA